TTGTCGTCGTCTACTAACGAGACACGTAAATTGCAACTGCTTGGATTGCCGATAAGATTTCGATTCCCTTCTTTTTCCTCCGCGCTATTACGCGCGTCGACGAGCTCCATCACGCCGCGAATTCCTCCGGTACAACGAAAGGACGACGATGATCCTCTATTTGCACGTTGTTCTGTTACAGACGAAGAAGAATAATCCGAATCACATAAAGAGGCCGATGAACGCGTTCATGGTTTGGTCTCAGATCGAGCGACGAAAGATTTGCGAGATTCAGCCGGACATGCACAACGCGGAGATTAGCAAGCGTTTGGGAAGACGGTGGAAAACGTTGGACGAAGCGGAGAGGAGGCCGTTTATCGAGGAAGCCGAAAGACTGAGGCAGTTGCACATGGTGGAGTATCCGGATTACAAGTACAGGCCGCGAAAAAAGACGTCGAAACCGATGGCAGCGGCGACAGCGACGGCGACGGCGACGGCGTCTGTGAGCCCAAAATCGAAGGAGGGTGGCAGCGTAAAGAAGCCGAGGAAATCGTCGTCGTTGGGATCAGGACCGAGTAGCAGGAGTCACGCGCGCAACGACACCAACAACAATATGCATACGACGAGCGTGGTTGGTGCGGGGGTGAAGAGGCTGCACGCACATGCCAAACCTGTATCGCGTTTGAAGGTCAGATTGGCGCTCGATAAGAGACCTCCGCTCGATTACACTCCCACTCCTCCGATCGTTACCGCCAAGATACCGAGCAGTCCTTCCTGCGTCACGCCTGATTCCCCGGAATCGGCCAGCTTTTACGAGGACAATTTCCTCGAGTGTGGCTCGAACGCTCGTCTCGCCTCTGGTTCTACCGGCAGCGTGCTTTCCACCGCCACCGCCACGGTCACGTCTCCCTCTTCGATGAGAACTGTCGGGAAAATTAAACGAGAAACCAGCCTGGAAATGGATTACGAGACAACGTTCGAGCCCAAGGATCGACTTCTCTCCTCGGTTGCCTCAAATTCTGCCAGTGGCAACGCTACCGTTACCTTTTCCACCTCTGTTGACGGAGATATGTCCAATTTGCTCTCGAGCAAGAGTTTCCGCTCGCGACTTCACCTCGCACGCCGCGGCGGCGTAAGCAGCGCAAACAGTAGCAGCAGCAGTAGTAGTAACAGCAGCAGCATTTTAGTAAAGGAAGAACCACCGAGCACGAGCTCGGACGCGTTGGATACGGAAATGGATACAACCACGGATGTGACGACCGCGGGCACC